GCGCTTGAACAACAATCACACCTAAGATCGAACATCAAGCTCAATAAATTCAGGAACAAATACACGTCAAGAAACATTTCTTCAAAATGCGGGAAAAAATACCTTGTAACTCACAAGATCATAGCCATAAATGAAAAATAATCTGACATTGCTTTTCAATGGAGATATAAATGTGATGAACCAAAACAAAAAGTGCCTACAAGCACGAAAAAAAAAATCTAGTTGCTCTGTACGTTGTTTGTGTGTCTCGGTGAGCGGTGGTAAGCACAAGTCCATCTGCTCAGGGGGTCCACCCACTCACTCGACCCCGCGAGATGCACTCTTCTTTAACACACGCACACGCGCACATGCACGCGTGGTAAACTGCACATCTCTGATGTGTGTGCGTGTCCAGCCACGTGTCAAATGAACCACATCCTTTCTGAATCTCCGCTTGACCGGGCGACCGACAGCTGCGGCAGCATCTTGAAATGCTGTCGCCATGGATACAGCGGGCAACTCTTTTTCGTCATATACTTGAAATATTTGCTCCGTTTCACCAACTTCTACGCGACACGAGGCACGCGCCCTGGTCAAGCAAGATAATACTCACTCGCTTTTGATTGACACCCAACGGAGCTATTCGTGGAACGGTGTTGACTATCATCGCGCGCTTAGTTTTAGCCTCATATAGAGCGGTTTCGAATATTCTGAACAAAATCACCGACTCAGATCGAGTGACGTCATGAACTCGCTCTGACGAGCCGGTTGAGTCGAAGAAGGTGTGTCTTATGCCAGACTGTGGCAGGGTTTGGAATTTCGGGACCTGGATTTGACACCTGTGCTCATTGATCTTTTTTTTTCTTCTCCCCTGTCTGTACCAGTTACTCAGCATCACTGAATAATTATTTACTTCTACTCAAGGAATTATTTGGAGTACTTTTTACTTTTACTTGAATCTTATGATCCAAACGTAACAGTACTCTAACTTGAGTACAATCGTTGGCTACTCTCTGGAAAGATGGAGCGGTAGAGGGATACAATGTTGAGGACTAATAATGCTCCCCAGGTGGTGTAACAATCAAATCATGGACAGCTAATTGATTATCAAATGAATTGGTGACCGTCCTGATTATGGATGAAGTTGTTTTGAGACCTTGCCGAATGTAAAATTGTCAAAACCACGGCATTTCAGCCTCTCAACGTAAATCTTCTTCATGAAAGCAGACTGGTCATTTTTTGTCTTGAATTCAAATGGAACAATTACAAAGTTTCGAAAGCAACCCCCCCCAACCAAGCTAATAACATCATCAGAATCAATACATGTTTTTTTGTTTTTTTGTTTTTTTTTTACATTTGCTCCAGTGGCCATTTGAAATAAAAGAGGGGATGGAAATTACATTTTTGGGGGTGGGGGTGTGGTAAATTCGATTCCTAAATGACGCGAAAAACAGTCGACAGAAGAATTGATGATGTAAATAATGGTCGCAGCCTTCAATATCTCTCAAAAGGTCATTCCTCGACATGGAAGATGACTTGTGCGAGGCTCCATACAAAGTCACTCCATCTGATTCTCAGGACAATGGTATTGCTGGTAACCGCCCCCCCCCCACCACCCCCTCCTCCTTGTCTTCTGGGCTCTTTGTGGCCACGGCCCACTCGGACCCGGGCGACGATGACCGGCGACTTTTCGCTGGGGCCGCCCCTCCACTTCCTCCTTCTCGGTCTTCCTCATCGGGACGTCCTCACTGCGCTCGTTGTGCTTCTGCTGTGGGGCGTCGGATTGTGAGCTCCTCGAGACGGCGACGCCAAGGACCACAACGAGACCTGGAGCCAGAGCAAGGAAGAACAAGAGGAGCGGCGCTGAGGTGAGTTGGATGTTTTTGTGCCACACTGAAGCCTGACGGAAATGCTCAAATTAGACTTTGAGGCGGTCCCGTTGGATTCGAATGTGCCGATCTTCTCAAGGGCCCAAATTGAAGGTCCAAATTCCAGTGTGGCAAAATGAGAAGCTCTTCCAGATGCCCTTTGCTTTGCATCCATCAAACGTTCTCCCGCCATGCAAAGTATTTGGATGGGATTGAGTTTTGTGCTCATTTTCCACCATTGTGGGGGTCAGCAACAATCCTAATAAAGTCGTCCGAGAAAAGAAATCACAGGCATGTTGTTTGAAATGGCGGAGACAAACTCAAGGAGTTGAATTGTGACCAATGGAGATTATACAAATTGTGATTTAAAATTACCTTTCAGTTCAAAGTAATCCAAATCACTTCATCCTTGGAAACAAATTTGCCATGATGTGAAAGCTTTGACTAATTTGTACGGAGGAGACGTCGCCGAATCATCCGTGCGGAGGTGAGAGCGGCAAGAACGTCGTGAGCGGCAGATCCGAGGTGAACGGTGACAACGGGAGCTCGTCTTTTACTTTAACATGCAAAAGTTACCCGACTGTGTTTGGCGTTTTAGTCCCGCTTTGAATGGACTTGAATTCACGGCTTCCGTCCAAACAAATTGCGTTGCCAAGATGAAAGTCAATCTTTTGAGACCATCCAGAACATTTGTCGAAGACCATCCAAGGCCGCAGATTGTTTGTTCACATTCCAGATGGTGGATGGAAAAATTGTACCTAAAAAAAAGTTCAAAAACAAACAACAAACATCTTCATATTTTTTCCCGGAACACACAATTTAGGGAGAAAGAAAAAATATGTTTCTGTCCGATTCATCCTGTTCGCTAGAGCAACTGATTGTTAAGGCAGATGAGATGGACAAGGCAACACATAGAAGCTGAAATCTGATTGGACAAAAATAAATGAACATACAAATGGGAAGCAGGCCAGCCAAGAGCAACGCTACCAAATGAATGCAAGATGTTCATTGGACAAATCTTCCAGTTGAGCTCGCAAATGTTGGTCAGTGCTTGTGATCGCCTTTAGGCCTCGTCCAGCCCGACGGGCTCAGCGCCGCTGACTTTCCGCGTTTGTCTCTTCAGACCAAATAATCAGGAGTGAGCGGCGCTCGCTCCGAGGCTCAGGTGCCGCGCGGTGAGCGTCGGAGGCCAAAAGTCAGCCGGGCCTTCCTTTGCCACGTTTGCACACCAAAGCGCCTCAAGCCCAGACAAAGATCCATAGTCACCAAAAGCGCCAATGACAGATGATTAATCGGCGCGCTGCGGTTCGCCGAGCCACCGGACCCACGGCTGACGCTCCAGCCACCAAACACAAAACCAAAACCCCCACTCCCCCCTGGAGCCTCCGCACACGGAGGTGCGTGGGCGAAGGGTGGAAGCGGGGTACCGTCCCCATGGAGCTCGCCGTGTGCGCCTTCGCACCACGAGTGCAGCACACTGGCAGAAAGAGAACCCGTGCGCGTGTGTGTGGGAGGCTTTGAGCTCCCCAAAATATGCGTGTGTGTGCACATGCACGTACGTGTGTGTGTGTGTGGGGGGGGGGGGGGGGGGCGCAGTGACCAAGCCCCCATCTGGCAGCGGGTGGGCGGCGCGCCACACAGCCACAATGGCCAGCAACATTTTTGGAGGTGTGGGCGTTGAAAAGGCTGCGAGCGCAGGCTGTGCGCGTTTAGCTGGCGCGCATGTGAAAGTCACATGAATGCGCTTCTCCTTAATGGGAAGCGCCGACGTCTCCTTCAGGAAGCTTCCAGAACAGAGGTGGGCAAAGTACAGAGCCGGGGGTTATACCCACAGTCCACTCTGATCTTCAATCCGACCACCCGACTATTTCCATTGACCCCAGTCCTGAATTATTTCTCGCACTCATTTAGCTGCAGAAGCATACGGCTGCCACGCCAGAAAAAAAAAATCTGAGTTTACCACGATATGCGATATGACAAATTTCCCATTTTATCCATCCATCCATCCATTTTCCGATTTGCAGGGGGTATGTGTTTGTGTGTATATATATGCATATACACACACACACACACACACACACACACACACACACACACATACATATATACATACACCCACACACAATTTATCAATTTTACATTATTACTTATTACTTTTATTCATCATTACATCAAGCCTGAGACTCATCACGGATGTGTTTGGAATTGAATGCAATATTGGTTATCAGCTGTAATGTCACAATTTGCAATCAATCATCGATTTCATTAATCAGATCAACAAAGTAAGACATGACAGCAATGACAATCTTCTTCAGCCCAGGGACATTTTGTGTGGCCATGGGCTGAAGAAGAGCTTTCTCAGATTCTTTTCAGGATTTGTTTCATTTTTTCCCCCCCGATATTTTAAATATAATTTGCGAGTTTTTTTTTTTTTTTTTGGGCGGGGGGTATAATTTGTTATTCCAGAAGTGGGAGGCAAGAAGTAGATTTCACTTTCAAACAGGCTCCCTGGTCGAAACTGTGGACAGGAACCTTGGACCTTGTTGGGTGTTGCGCTCAGACGCACGCACGCGCCCGCGCACCCACGCGTAGGCAGGATGTGACATTTATGGCCGTTGCGGTGTTGTTCCGAGCGCTCGTGACGGCGCCAAGGCCGGTGTGTCCACTTATGGTCAATGACGTCACGGATCCCCTTAAAAAGCCGCGCAAGATTTCACGAGTGGCGCTTTTTCATGTGCCGTCGCGATGAGCTCTTTAATGGGCTCCCTGGAGCGCGTGTCGGCCTTTGTCGTCAAACAAGAAGATGAAGAAAGGCAAGACGCGCAAAGCAAAGCGCAAGACCATGAAGCCGGTAAGCTTTTGGCGCCAAAAGGCGGTCCTTCCATCCGCCGTGTGTGCCGCTTGACGACGCCTGAGGGAAATGTCGTCCTTCACCTGTCTCGCTGTCTGTCTGTCTGTCGCGCATGCAGGTGAGCGTCCCGTCGCGCACTACGTGGCAACTTTCCGCGCGCTCCCCGTGCAGTTGGGGGTGGACGCAGGACGAGCGTGGAGTGACGTGGTGGGCGTGGTCAGCGCGGACGTCGCCTCACCTGCAGCGTCGGACGACGTCATGGCGCACGGCCAGCCTGACGTCAGCCACATGTACGCGCCTCCCTACACGCACGCGCACACCCACCTACACCCGGCCCCGCCCTCGTCGTACTCCTGCAGCGGTGACGTGTACCAGGACCCGTCCAATGGGGGCTACCTGGCAACGTCCACCTGCGGCGCGGTGACCTATCACGCGGCGCCGGCCTACAACTCGGTGCCAAAAGCCCCGCTGGTAGCGGACTACGGCGTGGGGGGGTTGTACCCCACCCAGACGACCTTCCCGGACCGGAAATCGGTGACGGCGTATGCTTTGGACTCGCTCCGTGTGGCCCCGCCCCTCACCCCACTCAACACCATCCGCAATTTCACTCTGGGCGCGGCCCCGCCGCCACCGCCACCCCCGATAACGACGCCGATGACGACTGCCGCCGCCAGCGAGGGCTCGCTCAGCGCCGCCGCCTTTCCGACCCACCACAATCTACCGCTCAGGTACGGACAGAAAAGTTGACGGTTAGAGCCCGTGTGAAACTCAAGGTCCGCGGCCCCCATCTTGCCCTCATTTCATCACAGGGGCAACCCAGTCAATTCAACATCAATATGAAATCCTCCCCCACAGGCCGATCCTGCGCCCGCGCAAGTACCCGTGTCGGCCCAGCAAGACGCCCGTGCACCAGCGGCCGTACGCGTGCCCGGCCGAGGGCTGCGAGCGGCGCTTTTCGCGCTCGGACGAGCTGAGCCGCCACCTGCGCATCCACACGGGCCTCAAGCCCTTCCAGTGCCGCATCTGTATGCGCGCCTTCGGCCGCAGCGACCACCTGACCACGCACGTGCGCACGCACACCGGAGAGAAGCCCTTCTCCTGCGACACCTGTGGCAGGAAGTTCGCGCGCAGCGACGAGCGGCGGCGCCACGTTAACGTGCACCTGAGGGCCAAAAGCAGCAAAGGCTCCGCCCTCTGAGGTCACCGACACCGTCACCGACGGAGGGTGCCGACATCTCAGGGAGTCGACGGCACGCACGGCACGGCCAGCCGCCTGAACGTTGCAAACGCATCTTGGGCTCGCCTCCATTGTCCGCCCGACGCGTTTTAATTACATTTTCGATTGTGTGAATTGATGATATCTGTAACTCCCCAGTTTGGGATTCATGATTCTGTGTGAAAAGCGACCATCTGCAGTGATGACACGTCCGAATCCAATTGTAGATATCTCAAATTTGACTTACGATATATCTGGTACGTGAATTAGGGATATCCGCAGCAAAATTACAGCTGAAAGTAGAGTTTCAGATATCAACAATTCTGTTGCCACATCTGCAAATGAATGACAACTGGTGGTGAAAGAAATGATAGCACTGGTATGCTAATTATGGATAGGAAGACTGTAGTTTTTGACATCTCAAATCTTTTTGATTTGGCAAAAGTCAACATTGACATTTCCAGTCTGTGTGTAAATGTTCTGAAGGCCTGGCGTAGAACAACAACACAAAACAAGCTCGCACGAATTGGTTTGTGACGTCACCATCAGCTGCATTATCGGAATTGTTTAAAAAAAAAAAAAGTCAAGCGAAGCAGGAAACTTTTAGGGGACACTCTTGGAGAAAATCGGGAGAGAAAGGCTGCGCCCCCTGATGATGATGCTCAGGAGGAAAAATGCGGAAACAACTCAGGGACTCGACAAAAGCACAAAACTTTTTTTGCGGACGTTCATTCGGGATGGCATTGTGACATCACACCCATTATTGTAAAAATAAATAAATACATAAAAGAACAAACACTTTCTTTTGATTGGGGATTTGGGAATGATCAATGATTGTGAACGTTATTGCGTTCACAATCATCCATCCGTTTTAGGAAATATCTCGGGCCACAAGTTGAACCCAACTCAGCATTTAGACAGACTGTCAATTTGGGGAAATGTTGTCACGTTGCTCATCAAAGTTCTGATTGAGAGAATGACGCTCCAAGAGGACGCCGTGGCGGTCAAGGGCGCCCCCTACCGAGTGCATTGCCGTGGTCTTTGGCAGCCATTCGCCACCGGGCGTGCGGCACCAAAGCACCCAGCCTCGCTCCAAGTTATCTGTCCTTGTTCAAGTATCGATGACATTTTGTTGTGTTGGTTCTCTATGCGTGACCTGCGATTGGCTGGCAACCAGTTGCGGGCCAATCGCTTGCTACCCAAAGATGGCTGGGATAGACTCCTAAAAACCCCAAACCCCCCCCAAAAACTAATCCACCACTGTAAGTTTGGGCTCTCGTAAGTCAAGGTGTCACTGTGGACATGTTGCTTTACTCACTTCAAATACGCGCCTTGGATCAATAACAGCTACTTCAACATAGCGGGCCAATCGCTTGCTGCCCGAAGATGGCTGGGATAGACTCCAAAAAAACAAAAACTAATCCACCACTGTAAGTGTCACTGTGGACATGTTGCTTTACTCACTTGAAATACGCGCCTTGGCTCAATAACAACATCGCTATGTCCAACTTGTCAGTCAGTCGCAGGGAAGAATGTCTTTCGTCGCGATCACTGCCAGGAGGCCACTGTAAGTGTCACTGTGGACATGTTGCTTTACTCACTTGAAATACGCGCCTTGGCTCAATAACAACATCGCTATGTCCAACTTGTCAGTCAGTCGCAGGGAAGAAGAATGTCTTTCGTCGCGATCACTGCCAGGAGCGGAAGCATTCGGCGGCTTCGACGTCCCATCGGGGCGTCAGAGGCGCACCTCAGGGCCCAGGTAGGCTTCGGTCCCGCACCAGAATGACACAGGCTGCGCGATCTCCATGAGCCAGACCTCGCGTCCGTTCGGCTCTCGGGGTTCGGGCCCTTGGAGCACTCGGAAGTAGTGACAGTCGCGACCGCCGTCCGGGTCGTAGGGCGGCGCCAGGACGTCCAGGAAGGCAGCGGGTCCATCCACGGCGTCGATCTGGTGCAGGTTGTCGCGGTCGGGCTCGAGTACGCACGGCTCGCTGGAGTCAGTGTACTCGGCGCTGGATCGCAGAACCGAGCGCAGCATGGCGCCAACTTGCGGCCTGGAGTGGGCTGCCTGCCTGTCCAGGCTGTCGAAACAGCTGACGCGCAGTTTACCGTACAAGACTTTGAGCACGCCGTGCATGTCCGGGTGGTCGTGCAGGGGGATGCGGGCGCCGCTCTTGAGGAGGAACACGCCCATGCTGAATTGCTCCGTCTCGCAAATATGCATGTAGGTGACCGGTGGGGTGCCGCGGCAAGGGGGAGAGCCGCAGCCGGGAGGCAGCAGCTTGAGGTCGGCGGCTCGCGCCTGCCTCACGAGGCTCAGCAGCTGCTGGTGCTTGTCGTGGAAGGCGTGAGGCGGCTGGCGGAAGGTGACGAGCGCCTGCCGCGCGATCCTCTGTACCAACGAAGTGGGTACCATCGCGGAACCTTCGCTGGCTTTCATCGCCAGCTAGCTAACTAGCCGCTCCTGCGGCTTCGCTAGCATCCGAAGATCGTTTATTAAGCACACAGTTCACTACCGTCCATCAAAACTGAACTTACCGACATCGACTACTTTAAGGCCTTTGTTGATCAAACAGTTGATCAACAAAGCGTGCTTGACTTACATTCGGGTTCTGCGCGTGCCAACGACTGGGTGCAGTTAGACCAGGCAATCCGAAATCGCATCAGCGTGAGATGCCGGTGTTCATGGGGCTCATCTTCGTTTGCGCTCCGAGCCTACTTCCGTTCGTCACGTGATCGTTTCACAGTCGAAAACGTGGAAACAAGTCAAAGTTCGAAAACAAAGGCCAACATGATTGTTTGTGTTGTACACGTTTGTGTTGTACACGTTCCCGAAGAAGCATGTAAAACGTAAAAAAAAAAAAGTAAATACATAAACGTGGAGCCAGTTGGCATTTGGAATTTGAACTCGCTTAACACCGTCAGTGACCAGCCTCGTAGCCTTGACATTCACAATACGCATGGTTGCTCTACTGTTAAAAAATACAATTATAGTTGTAAAATTAAGACTTTATTTCAAAAACTTTTCAATGGTACTTTAAATGCTTTTATTTGACCACACACGCATACACACAATTGTTGTTATTTTATTACTTTTTCCCTCCAAAAATAAAATTCAAACCTTGCAAATTCATTTCCCCCCCTTTGGTTGAACGATTTTTTTTCTAATATTCTGTCTTTTTCTGAAGTGGACGTGGCCTAAGAAGCGAAGCAAGCAAGTTGCTGTCACTTCTGCATGAACGTTTGCACATTTTTATGCTGATTCGATATTTGAGGCCCTCATGAATACAGAATGGAGGCTCACGTCCTCCTCCTCACCGTGTGACATCACAAGTCCTCATTAGCATTTGTTGACAACAGCAGACTGCACCCACACGTACAGTGACACAAACACAGTTGATGACACATTTGGTGATGCATGATCCTCACAACACAAAACCCAAACCAAATGTTCAGCGTTGACGTGTTGCAATGTGCCTGCCATAACAATTGGACAATGAAAAAAAAAGAGAGGGGGGATATTACCATTGCCATAGAAACAACTCAATTTGTTTTCCAGTGCATAGTGACTTCACTTATGACTTCCAATTTCTGATTCAGTGAGGATAAGCGGTTTTAGATACTGGATGGATGGAAGGTGACAGTGATGAGGCGGCACGCCACCAAGCGGACAACTGGCACTACTGCAGCCTGCAGTGCGGTCCTCCTCCAGGGTTGCGGGCTGGATCGGCTCGGGTGGGTGAAGCAAGGTGTGGCCCAGGGTCCATATACGGTCCGTAGTTTACTCCCGGGACTGACCAAGGATTCAAACGTAAATGAAGCAGAATCGAACATGGATAAAGAGAGGTGTGCTGGACATTCAAACCGTTGATGTATCCAACAGGGACAGGTCATGAGTTGCAAGAAAAACAAAGTGAGCTTTTAAGGTTTTAAAAGCATTTTAATGGCTTTTTGCAGTTATGGAACAGAGAGCGAGAGAGAGAGAGAGAGAGAAAGAGAGAGACCAAAAGAGGAGTGGGAGGAGAGGGGGAGGAAAGGGGGGTGTCTACAGGTGCACATTCAACTAGCAGTGACCCCTCATAACCCCTCAACTCACCACACAAACCTCCTTTGTGGCATTTATTGATCGTGCGCAATGAACTAAGGACATATCGGTGCCGGTTACTACGGTTACGGTGACCACGGCGTGCATACAGACGACACGCTGGAGAGAGAGAGAGAGAGAGAGAGAGAGAGAGAGAGAGAAAATTGTCAGTCAGGTGTGCAAAAGAAGCGCACCCAAAAGCCAGGCTGCCTCTAACTGGCTGCTTTGTTACCAGGCTGAGTAGGAACTTGTTCTGGTCAGCAGTTCATTGGAGGAGAGAGGAGAAAAAAAAAGGACAGAAAGAAAAGCCAAAGAAGAAGCAAGCGACCATCAAACAGCGCCAAGCGACTTTAGTGCTTCTAAATGTGATGAGAAGACGACGACGAAGTTTTGATAGGCCAGCACTCGTCAGGAAGGTCAACATTCTGGTCAGTTGTAGTCTTCCTTCATTGACAAAGTTTTAGTCCACCAAGGAGATTAGCAGAGGCGAGAATACGCAAGATTAGTTTTTCTTATACACAACTTGTACATAATCAGGAATTAAGATTGAACCCGGGACGAAACCCGGTCTCAACAAGGATTCCATCTGGACAAAACCAGACCTGGACTCAACAAGGAGCAAACCTGGATTGAAGCAGGACTAAACCGGGATCAAACCAGAATTGGATCAAACCTGGGTTCAATTGTGACAAAAGAAGGTTTAAACCAGAACTAAACCAGGACTGGACCGAACAAGGTCTCAATCCAGTATGAAGATTAAGCAGAATTGAGAATAGGGCGGATAACTATTACTTTGACTATTCTGACTTTTTTTTTTTATACACAACTTGTACATACGCTTCACAAGCCAAGCAAGACCAACAGCGGCCAAACAGGATCGCCATGAAATCGCAACAGAACGGGACCACTCAAAAACCTTCAACAAGCTCACGTCAAGTCACAACTGGACTCAATCAGGCCCAAACCTGGAAGAAACAAGAACCAAATCTGGATTCAATGTGGACAAAACAAGGTTTAAACCTGGATTGGACCAAACCTGGATCAAATATGATTTGACCAAAGCTTAAATCTGGACTAAACCAGACCTGGACCAAACCTGGTGTAAATAAGGATTAAATCCAGACTAAACCAGGAGCAAACCTAGATGGAACCTGGTAAAAAAACAAAAAAAACAAACTATCCAATCTATCTCGAGCCAGAAGTGTGACAAATTGGGATTAAATGTGGGTTAAGACAATACTGAACTGAACAGGACAGGATTGCTCTGGTTGTAAGACAGGGCTCAAGCAGAACTGAACCCATGATGGACCAGAATGAAACCTGAACTAAAACCCCCCAAACTAGTTTTAAGCAGGACTACAGCTCTGAGCCAGGGTGGATTGTTGTTAGGCACAGAGTGGACACTTTCGGCTCCAAAGGGACGCACTTGGAGTGGCTCGCATGGGAAGAAGACAAAGACCGGGAGGAGGAGGAGGAGGAGGAAACCCAGCAGGAGCATCCGGACGGCTAAACGTGGAAACGTTACACGAGACTAAATTGGTTATTGTTTAGATTTCTTCTTCATAGTTGATGTTTTACGAGTACGAGCGGCGTAAAATCGAGAGGGTTGGGTTGACATGGTAACAGCCCCCAGGCGACCGGGGACGAGCCAATCAGCACCAGAGGGACCAACGGGAGCAGGAAGAGGAAGAAGAGGAAGGAGGAGGGGGAAAGAGGAGTTAGTCGCTAGAATTTATTTCTTCTTGCTGAAGAGACTGAAGCGTTTCTCCTTGTCTTTGTCGCGTTTGCCTGGACTGGACTCGGCCGCCGCCGCCGCCGCCACCTCGGCCGAAGCCGAAGTAGGCACGGTGACCGAGCGACCAGTTGAGGTCGGCATGGTGTGGGCGCGGGCGGCGGTGGCAGCGGGCGCCGGCGTGCTGTGGCTACTCGGCGTCACCTCGCCCTTCTCGCCCAAAATGGCCACCGAGATGGTGGAGATCCATGAGTTCATCTCCTCCTGCGCCGCAAAAACATCACAAAGCATGTTAGCGTTAGCAGTAGCATTCACTTGACTTCTCCCATTATGTGCGTTCACATTGGCAAGTCAAAACGGATCCTTTTCCAAAACGTCGGCTAAACTAGGACAGCGTGTGGATTAAAGATGGACTGAAACAGGATTCATCTCGGACTGAAGACAGACTAGCTTGCCCCTTCCTTAAAAGGAGGACTAAAGAAAGATTACACCAGGTCTGAACCTGGATTAAAAATGGACCACATCGTGACTAATCCTGAACTGAAGCCGGATGACACTTCGCCTTGATCAAACCGGCAATGAAAGAGGATTCGACTAGGGTTGAGCGCTGCAAAAATAGACACGGACTGGGATCAATTCCCATTGAAACACGGATTCAACCGGGACTGAGAGAAAATGAAAGGGTCGTTACTCACGTCATCTTTGGCTTGAAAGAGATACTCGTTGCCGTCAGTGACTCTGTAGTAATCAAAAGACACGGTCGTCTTATTAACGGGACACCATGAATCACAGACACTGACAGACAGAATCGAAGACGCGTTGTCTCAAAAGGTGCATGTGCCAAATTAATGACTTAAATTAGATTTAACCAAGGCAAGCACATTCAATCCAAGACACGCCAAATCCCCCAAAGCGCACAGATTGAAAGAGGTGTTGCTTGAAAGACGCGTTCCATCAAAGGCACGGCGCCTGTTGTCGGCGTGACGCCGGCGGACTGACTTGAGTTTGAAGACGTGTTTCTTCTTCTTGTATCCGAGCGCCACTTCGCAGGTGGCGTCTTGTAGCGCGACGGGGATCTCGCCGTGGTACGGGATGCCCTGCGTGGCGCTCTTGTGGTCCTTGTAGAAGCCCAGCTCCTGATGGTTGAGCACGCAGAAGACGTGGTGCCACGACCTGCCGGGGAGGGGGGGGGGGCACCAGCGCAACGACAACCATCACCACAATGACAAGGTGCAGTCGCACGAGCCGAAGCCAGAGGGCGCCCCAGCACATGCCCACCACTTGCATCAGTCATAAAAAGGCCTGTATTATGTTTCTCCCCCCAGGAAAAAAAAGCACACCACAGGCTGGTTCGTCATACAAACGTCATGAAATAGAATGTCAAGAATCAAACCGTTTCAATTTAAAAAAAGGAATGTCTTCATTCCATGGGAATTTGGCGGCTTTCCCTGGCCACCAGGGGGCAGTACATTACCTGCCACGTAGCCGGCCGAAACTAAGTCACAGCGATGCTAGCCACATTTTGCAGAGTACGACAAATATATGCCTTGCATTGTACTGTCAGTCCGGAGGTGCTGCTAAACAGCTGCCGCGCCAATCGACATCGTTTGAAGGTTTCTAATTTCTTCCCGGAATCGATGCGAGCTTGTCAGCCCATCCACGGCGCTTGGCGGCGGCGCGCGTACCTGCTGGACGCCTTCTTGTTGTGGCCCTCCCACTCGTGCTTGCGGTGCAGGAAGCCCTCCATCTGCGAAGTGGCCGAGGGCGCCTCCTGCTGGCTCCTGGCGGGCAGCGTGGCCGCCTGCTGGCCGGCTTTGGCTTTGCGGGCGCCCCCCGGGGACCCCGCTGGGCTTGGCTCCGACACGCCGTTGACCGCCTCGCCGCCGGCGCAAGCGTCATCCTGGAAACACCGCCACAGGGTCAGGGTCCGCGTCGGCACCCGCGTCGGATGATTGAGATGGTTAGCAGCAAGATTTAGAACGATTGGTTTGTTTGGGGGGATTGAGAGCGAGAGCATGCAGAGCACAGCACAATCACAGCGTTGCCACGGAGGCACGCCAAACATCGGCACCAAAGATCCAGAAGGTTGTGCGTGGGACAATGGACCCTTCCTGCTGGACCACTGAATTCATCCCGGTTTGGTTCCGGTTGAATCCGGGATAAGTCCGGTTCTGGGTTTTGTATTTGCAATTAACAGCCAAATGAATCCGGCTTTTCTTCAATCAGCTTTCATTAAGGTCCAGGACTGATTTTTAAATGTTTTTCTTTTTTGGGGCAGTTCTGGTTCAAGACTGGTTTAACCAAGGATTAGTGCAGTCCCGGTTGAGTTCAGCCACAGTTCACGTTTAGTTTATTATTGTTCAAGACTGATTTTCTTTTTTTATTGACTGGTTCAACCAATTTTTAGTCCAGTCCCAGTTTGGTCCAGCTACAGTTCATGTTTAGTTCATGCTTAATGCAGGTTTAGTCCTCGTTTCATCCTGGTCGAGTTCTGCTTCATTACTGGAATAATTCAAGTTTACTCCGATTTCAAGAATTATCCCGGTCGTTTCTTTGTCTCGGCACACTCCAGTTGTAGTCAATGTTTAATCCGGGTCTCGGTCTATGTTTCATCCCGGGTTAGCCACATTGGGGTGGAGGGTGGGGGGGACTCTGCTGGCAGCCGAGGAAAAGTTTTCCCTTGTTGAAGACGTCAAAGGAGGAGAGTGAGAAGGTGAGTAGCTCATGCAGTGAGGTCATGCAAGGCGGCAAAACAATCAAATCCCAGTCAAGCGCAATTGCTTGCAACCGCAGCACACCACGGCCACGCCCACGACAAGCCGGTGCCAATCCACTCGTCGGTCGCTCGGTTACCACGCTAAGCGCTTCGGGTTGTCGCTGGGTCGGCCCGGACCGGGGGAGCGGAGGGGGAGACCAATCCTGCTTCCTGCTGGAGCGGGACCTCGGCCCAAAAGTTTCCCGAAGCCAAACTTGGGGCGAGCTCCGGGCGACTTGCTAGCAAACTAGTCGAGTCGGTGATGGCGCCGCGCGGCTCGACTTCCCGCTCGCCTGGCTCTGCATGGGCCCTGGGACTGACTGGCGACCAATCCGGCCATCTTACCCGCGACCGTTCCCAGGAGAAAAGGAAGCTTTCGTGACTTGGATCTTGGATGACTAACAACAGATCTTGATCACCACCTTGGGCTGGCGTTTATCCAGGGCTAATCAAGATTTCTGAGGGTTCTTTGAAGCTCACGTTTGGGACCGACTACTGGCTAGGATGATGCCGATTATTGCGAGATTCCTTTTTTGTGGCTTTGGCCATTGGAAGTCGTGAATGTTGTTGTGAGCGAGTGCAGGTTGGGACGGGCGTCGCCCAACTTGTACAATGGGGAGAAAACAACAATTAAGAACTCCAGGACTTGAGTCTTTTCTTCACCCCCGCCAGTGAGCCAAGAAGGAAAGTCCCCTCGCTGCCTATCTTTAAACGTATTTTTTTTTTCCTTGGCTTTTGACTCAGCATGAAACTTGATTTTTAGTCCTCCTCTTTTTATGCTTTCTACTGTCTCCATTTTTCATTTCTAGTTGTTGTACGATTTAATTTTTGCTCCACGTGCAGCACTTGGTAAACTGCGGTGGTTGTTTTCAAGTGCTGTCGAAATACACGAGTTGAGCTGAGAAGAATTCATGATGATGATGAAATGGAAACAAAAAAAGCAAAGACGTTCACATGAGACTGAGCAAAATGAGATGTTGACGAGACAAGCGACAAACGACCTTCCCCGTCACTCTCCTCGACAGTTGTCCAATGAAACTTTTTTTTTTTTTGTGTGTGTCATAATATCACTACTTCATGGTAAAATAAAATAAAAACGTAAGATGTAAGAATTTGCGGGTAATTGAAGGCACCGATTAGGTCAGTGAGAAGCGAGTCGGTGAAGGTGCGCTCAATTTGTTTACGCTCTTGTCCAATCAGGGATCAGCACTACTTCATGTGCACGAATAATAATTCGTGCGCACAAGTTTTTTTTTTTTTTTTTTTTTTTGTCAATTGTCATGTCCGGGGCTCCGTCGAAATGTACTTGTCAACCTTCCTTCCTTTAATGGGTCTCCATTTTAGAAATAACTTCGCAAAGTTTATGTTCAATAAGCACAACACCTGCAAACAAGACACACAAGAACTGTTTTCAAATGTGGTGAGAAAAAAAAAAAACAGAATCAATCTACTTGAAAGTTGCTTTTTACACATCTTGTTAGCGTTTGACAAATGGATCAATTTGTCTGTCTGTTGTTTATTATGGCGAGGCATCAAAATGATCAACTATATACGTCCGCTTCAAAATATGAAAAACATACAACACACATCCATTTTTTGCTCCTGCAAATTTCAAAGTGCAACAGAATAAAAAACACTTTACGACGTATACACAAACACACACACACACACACACACACACACACACACACACAAGATTAAAATTGTTTTCTTTCTCCAGAGTGCTAAGCTAAATGCTAATGACTGGCGCACACACTCACGAAGACACGCATGTGACACAGAAAGCAACATCAAGTGCAGGGTGGCGTTTGGATTGTGACAGTTGACACGTTTTATTGCGTTGGTTAGTGGAGGTGACGTGTCCACATGCAACAGGAAAAGAAAAAGAAAGACAATGACACAATGAAACATTTTCAAATGATGATGACGATGATGTGGATGATACGACAACAACAATGACCAGCAGGGGGGGATTAGCCGGAATGTCATAAAAAAACACAAACACACAGACAAGATTATGGTGAAGAGGACGATGATTTCTCAAGTGTAAAATAGCGACGATGCATATGGTTCCTTTGGACTTTTATTGACGCTTCAAAGTGGCAGATTTAGTTTTTTATTTGCGGCCAACGACGGCGGATACGAATTAGCTGCGGCGGGCGGGGTGTGCCCTTTAAAATGTCTGCTGTGGTCACGTGGTGACGAGTTTGTACAGGAGAATGTAGAGAAGAAGAAAGGACATTAAGAGTTGAGTGGACAGGGGGACGGGGGGGTCGGCCTGGGGAGGGGAGGGGTGGGGGCAAAGAAGAAGAAGAAAAAGAAAAAGCAAAACAAATGAAGGAGGGGAATGGATGCGAATCGGTGTGTTGTGGGCATGCGCATACACAAGTGCCCCCCCCCGCCAACCCCAAAGAAAATAATGAGAAAAAAACAACAACCCTTTTCTGACTCCAGCATCACTTTTCATTTTGTTGCCATCACTCAAATGAAGAATCCTCGGAAGGGATTCCGAGGAAGCGCCTTTCAGGGAGTGTATGAAATCCATCTTCATATTGTCGGCTGTCTTTTCAAATAACTCACATTTTGCACCTCGCCGCGGAGACGGCCGCCAAAAGAAAGCGGAGGAAGAAAAACTGCTGAGATGGTCCCAAAAAGCTTCGCTAGGCTCACGTCGCCTCCCGCTGGCAATTGGAGCTCGCGGCGAGCTCGGGGCCGCTGAGGCCGCGGCGCCCAGCGAGCGAAGGCGCTTCGGCTGGTTACGAGTGCACCCAAACATGCCGCAGGGCACGAGCAAGCGTCTGCACTCTCGCTTCGCCGGAAACGACTGAGCGCATATGCTACGGCGGATGTTGGCGAGGAGGTGTGGCCTGGGCTCTTAAAAGTATATTTATAATTTCGCAAATGTTATATATATCGAGTCCTGACTTTCGAGGTCCGCACAATGAATGCTCTCAAAATGCAGATCTTAGCTTTCTTTAAAAAAAAAAAAAAAAGTCAATATAGCTTTGCTTCTCAACAAGATTGCTAAAAAATAATTAATTATTTCATTTGATGTCATCGCTCTTGTCATCCCTCTTCTCAGCAGACTTTCCTTCCGTCTCTTTCTTTTGGCTTCTTGGATCATTTTTGGATGGGCGCTGCCTATCGTCTCTTTGACCGCACGTCTCAACGGGTTGACGTTAAATGAGGATTTCCCACCGTAATGCGTTTCTCCGCCTGCCTGTCTTATTGCCAGGGTGCGTGTCTGCGCGTGTGCAGCTTGCGAGTGTTGGAGTATTGCTGGTAGGCGGGCGAGCGGTAACTAACCCTGGCGGAGTCCGGCTCGCTGCTCGGCCCGTTCTGATTCGCCACCTCGCCTTCCCTGAACACACAAAAACAACACACGCATACACGTCAACAACATGACGTTGACCCGACAAAATCTCGGCGTTTTCGGTTGCCACTTTGCGACCTGGAACATCCGTTTCAGCGGAGGAACCGCGATCGACAGGTGCGTTGCGCTCACCTTGGTTGCGCGGCGGCCGTCGCTTCCGCGGCTGCCGGCTGGTTCTTCCTCTCTTCCTCCTCTTGCCTTCTTCTCACTTCCAGCAACTCCATCTGAGAGCACGAGGGCACACACATGAGGGCGCGCGCACTTTTGGTCTGCAGAGCGTCGGTGACTTTTGAGGCAAATGGTTTCCAAGGCGACAGGCGAGTCGCTTTCAAGCCCATCTTGGAATCAATAATTGGACGTGAGCTTCAAAATGCGCCTCACCGTGGTCAATCTTTCCAGGGCGGCAAAGCGCTCCTCCCAGGTGGCGGCCGACTTCTCGAAGGCCTCGTGCCTCTTGATGAGTTTCTCCACGTCGTCCACGCTTTGTCCCATCTCGCGGCTGGACAAGTACGACTCCTGGCCCAGGAGCCAGGCCTCGGCCACGCCCGCGTCCCGCGAGAACTGGTGCACCTCCAGCACTGCACGCGTGAGGCAAAACCAACTGGCGTCAGCAACAGATGGGCGGCCGCCGCCGCCTCACCGCGATTGGGCACCAGGCCTCACTCACCCAGTCGGAGCCACTCCCACCGGTCTTCCCACTTGTCAATCATCTCTTTCCGCTTGTCCGTCAACTGCAGCAACTTTTCTTTGATCTGAGGACATGCGCATGCACACGTTGTAACGCACAAGTTGGTTCCCAGCTACATTTGCTGCCTAAACTGCGAGCACAAATTCTGCATTTGGAGAGCGGTCGTAACTCACACCAGATTGGGGAGTTTTTACAAATGGAAGAAGGCGGCGGACGCACCTCGTCGGAGGCGTAGTGCTTCCTGGCCAGGAGAGACTTTCCCAGCTCGATGCAGGCGGTGAAGCTGTCGTTGCGCGCGTCGATCTCGGCCTTGATGCCCTGGTGGTTGTTCATCAGCAGCTCCACTGACGACACGTCGCTAGACGACGACACGCCACCGCACGTGTTACTACGGCAACGCCAACCACTCGTGCTGGGATGTAACCCGAGACCTCAAATACTCTCACTTACTGTAAATACATCTGTTACCCTTGCACTTTAAGTGAGCTGCAAGCTCTCCGATATTTTTCCATCCGATTATTCCAGCAAGGAATCGCATAAATATTCTCCATAAAATGTGACTGCAGGTACAATTTTTGTCCACTTGAGGTCGGATTGTTCCACATCATGTTACCTGTGACTTTGATCGTGTGCGGCTTTAAAAGGCAGACCCAGAGTCGGTGAGTGACGTGGGTGCCAGCAAGCGGAGATGAGCTCTTCTAGTTTCACGAGAATATTTTTGACGTAAGAGAATTTGACCTGTACTCAAGCGAGTGTGCTGCAGGTGTACCGGGGATTCTCCTGCGCGTCGATGAGTCGGATGACGTCGTCCATCCACAGCATGAGGTCTCGCACCAGACTGAAGAAGCGGAACTTGTCTCCCGTGTCGGCCAGCTTCCCTCGTCGGCCCTCGGCCGCCTCCAGAAGGCTCTTCCACGCCTCCAGAACCTGAAGAGCGCACAAACACACACGACGTCACGGGTACGTTGAGAAGCGGCAACGGCTCAGCTGCACGCGCTCGTCGGGCCGCCCGACGGCGGCGTCACATCCGGTTAACCGCTGTCGGTCAAAGTCAAAGAAGTGTACATCATCATGTCGGCTACGACCATAAAAGGAAGTCTGATCGAGAATGATGATGATCCCAATTGACGGATTGATTTCTTTTGTTTGTTTCTAGTCAATGTGAAACCGAATCAAGTCCACGTCGCCATGTTGCCGTTTAATGTTTGGAATATGATGATGAAGACCAGTTTTCTGCCACATTTCTACCAACAGTCACACTGGAGGATAGGATGCCCACGTTTTGGGAAAATGGCAGCGCTTTTTTTTTTGTTTTTGAAGGGGGGAGGGGGCTGTTCACATTACAAAAACAAATGCAACTTGTAATGTGAATGGAATGAGTTGTTCAAACGAAACGCATGCGACCACAACACGACGTCCTGTGGCGCAGTGCGTTTATGGAAGACAATATGGCAAGATCGCTCGCCCAAAGTTTAAGTGGCTTACTTGTCGCTGGGGAATGGACGACAAGGACATTACAAGCAAACGTCCGGCCAACGAAAACTAACGAAAGCGCAACATTCACTGCCTTGGCCAACGGTCGCAAATGTTGACAATACGAGACATCTCGAATCCTGTAGCGCTTTCACAACAGCTGCAGCGGTCCCAAAGCGCCTTACGGAAGATGGCTTTCATTATTTTCAAGGTCGCAAGACTACAAAATAATCCAAATGTGCAAATGTTTTGCCAAGTAGAACAAGAGTAGCTCGGTTTCGGATTTCACCACGCTACGCTTTTAGCGAGTATGACAGGCGCCCAAGTCTCCCTCGCTGCGCACGGTTCTCCTGCGGGCAGCGGCACAGCGGCGGGTTTGGCTTCATGGATGGCTTGAAGGGAGAGGCAAGCCGGAAGACGCGCCAGAATGCGTCTGCCTTGCCTGCTATCGAGAATCGGCAAAGACTCGAGCGAGCCGAGACATGTTAGCGACTGCCACACGTCCAAACGGCTTCATTTCAAATGGAAGTTGAACGACTGTCAGTGATCTGGTGACAAGCAAGCACCGGTGGCACGTGGTGAGAAATCAACAGCGTGATGAGAGAAGTTCAAGCTGCCGACGCTTCATTTTCGCCCACGCAACTGACTATGAAAATGGATTGTTGAGCGGTCAACAAATGAAATGCACGTTGCCCAGAGGATGCCCGCATTCTGTGGTAGCGCTTGTGGGGGGGGGCGTTCCACAAAACCGCCGGCATTTCCGTCCCCGGGCAATGACAGAAAAAGACATTTTTATAAAGCGCATTGTTATGTACTACCTTTAAAGTTGACAATCAATTCGCGTTCATGTCAAGATTGTCAGAACCAAAATGCTGACAGGATAAAACGAACCGATACGCAGTCCAATGTTCCCCCTGGCGTGGCAGCATTTCGATTTTATAGATGCGCACTCGATTGCAGACAAATGTGTGCGTGGCGCAAGAAAGCATTTAAGGTTACAAATCCATCGGCCCATTTGCAAGTGTTTGCTTCTACCTGCAGGTGGCGCCAAGGGGGAACTCTCTCCTATTAAAAAAAAAAAAAAAACAAACAGACCAGCACGACCAAGCGGAAGCGCAACTGTGACTAAAATGCATCATTTTAGTCCAAGTATAAAGAGAAAGCGTTTCTATTTGATGCGGAAGATGAGGCGGCGCAGCCACACTGATGCAAAGCGAAAGAAGCTGCTCGAGTCTCACCTCTCCCTTTCGCTTCTGCAGGGACAGGACGGAAAGGAAGGGCGAGAAAACAAACTGAATACGGCCAACAAACACCTTCTTCATCATCATCATCATCATCCTCATCATTTCCTATGATGACGTCACCTTTTTGAATCTGAGCGAGTCAACTGAGTGACGTTTTCTCCACCGTCTAATTGAGCGAGTGAGCTGCGTCTGCCTATGGGTGCATGCGGCGTGCGTTTCGGCTAACCTCTCCTTCCCGCTTTTGGATGTCGTCCGCTTTGTCGCCCGCGTACGCCGACTGCAGACGGACGGCATCCTCTTGAAGCTGACGCACCTGGAAGGGGGCGGCGGGCAACGAAATTAGGTGGGGAAAAAAAAAATGGAATTCTGATTTCTTTTGTCTCTTTCTGTGTCATAGTTTTCAGATATTTGCATCGCATATTTAAGGAATATTTGTGCCTTAGCAGCATTTGCGGGGCGACGGCGAGCGATCGTGCCACCTGCGTGCCGAGCGCTTGGATGTCGTGCTCGAAGGCGGTGTGCATCCTCTGCAGCGTCTCCACCGTGTTCTGGTCGCGGCCCAGCTCCTCGGGCAACTTCTTGTGTTTGTCCAGCACTCGCGCCAGGATCTCCTTGGCGTCGTGGTAGAACTTGTGCAGCTCGAAGGAGGCGGCCAGGATCTGCGTGCGCGTGTCGATCAGCTCCAGCAGGTCGGCCCAGGCCTCGTTCAGGCCGTCCTTCCACTCGGCCACTGTGGCCGCGTCCCCGTGGCCCGCGTTGATCAGCTCGTCCGCCAGACGGTTGACGCCGTCCACGCGCTCCTGCCCGATGTTGCCCGTGTCGCGGGCGAACTCTCGGAAGCGCTCCTGCAGCATCTGGGGACAGCCACAAAACCACTCCCAGTGCGTGCGCTTGCGAGTGCCCACTCCCAAATCTCATGGAGGAAGAGCGAAGAGATATTTTCAAATGCCAAAAATGGGCTCATTAAGAATTAATTTTTTTCTTTGTGAGCTAAAAATTCCCCAGAAGCCACTTTTCCGCAGCGTGAACCTTTCTGCAATGTCTGCGACTCACAGTGACGTGCTCGTAGTCCTGCCCGAGCTCGTGCGAGCCGGCCACCACTTCCCTCTCGGCGATCCACTGCTCCAAGTCGTCCACTTCCCGGTTGAGCTGGAAGAGGCGGAAGCGCTCGTCCAGCTTGCCCCGCCGCTCCTCCGACAGATCCTTCAGTCCGGCGTACAGCTTGTCCACCTGCGACTGACGCATGCCGATGCGCTCGCTGCGGGAGCGGCGCGGCCACGAACGTCAGCTCACGCCAATCGCCGTGCTCGTCCCCATGCGGGGCGCGGCCTACCTGTCGGGGTGTTCGGCGGCCACCAGGCCTCGGCTCGTGGCGGACAGCTGGTGGACGGTGTCTGCGTAATCCTCCACCGCCTGCTCCAGGATCTGATGCTTCTTCAACATGGCCACCGAACTCTGCTCGTCCTGAAAGCACGCCCCCGCCAAACTCATTCCGGCTTTGTCATTAACATCTGAATCGCGAAAAAAAACTCGCTGGGCCGCTAACATTCATTTGTGGAGAGACTGTTGATGGTTCTTGTCAACAAACACCACGATTGCTCTTGCTGCCTTTCACATTCAAATTAGTCGAGAACACGTTTTTTGGTGCGCAGTTTGCCATTCACGTTCACTTATCTGGACTATTTTGGGATATGCAGATTTTTGTTCCAAACGACGCCGCTCTGTTCAATATCCTTTTTTGGTGGAACTTTTTTTTGTTTTGTTTCACGCACGTGTGTTAAGAGGCGGCACGCTAACATTAGCGAGAGGCTAAGCGGCAGAGGCGCCGGCATCGGGAGCCCACCTTGGCCTTCTCCTCGGACATCATGTAGAGTTCCTGCTCGCTCATCCAGGCTTCGGCCTCGGCGGCGTCAAAGTAGTACTGCTGCGCCTCGTGCGCCTCGCTCAGGCGGGCGTGGCGCTTCTCCGTCTCCTTGCGGATCTGCTCCCACAGCGAGCGCAGCTCCGCCAGACGCTGGCGGATCAGCTCGCCCGTGGGACGCTCCTGCCGCAGGATGTGCTGGCTGCGCTCAAAGATGTCGTCATAGCGCGGCTGGTGGCCCTGGATCTCCTTCTGGAGCGTCTAGAGGGGAGGGAGGCGGGGAAGGGGACAAAGGACACTCTCGTTCCTTTCGCTCGAGGGAAGACGAGACGACGAGATGAGATTCCTACCTGGTTCTTTTTGATAAGGAGCTGCACTGTTTGGAGGTTGTGGCCGTGGTCCGTGGACGTGGCCAAGGGCATCCTCTCCTCCACCCACAGCTACAAAACACGCGGAGCACAACGAGAAGGTGAAGAGGGAGAGGAGGAGGGCAAGGAAAGGAGGAAGAAACAAAAGGAGGTGGACAAAGAGGAGGAGAAGAAGCAGGAAAGATGGAGACAAGAATCAGAACAGAAGTACAGAGGGAAGAAGATGACGATGAGAAGAAGATGAGAAAGAGGCGTGGAAAAGAAGGTGAGGGTGACAAAACAGGGGCAAAGAAGCAGCAGGCGGGCAAGGAGAAGCAGAGGAGGAAAAGGAAAAGAGCAAAAGTGGTGAGAAGGAGGACAAGGAGATGAGGAAGAAGAACGACATTGAAGAAAGAACCCGAAGTAGGTTAAGAAGCGAAAGAGAGAAAAGGAAGTGAAGGAGAAGTGAGGAGGAGGAGGAGGGCTAAAAGAAAAGCAAGTTGCAGGCGGGCGTACAATCTCGTCCTCGACGTCTCGGTTGAACTGGTGGATCTCGCGGGAGGCCATCAGGTTGTCGCGGCGACTTTGGAGCGGCGCCCGCAGAGCGCCAAACTTGCTCTCCACGCTCCTGCGCTGGCCGTCCACCTCATCCGAGCCTTTGCCCTCCTGACTCAGCGCCTGCGACTGACTCTGCAGCTCGTCCACCTCCTTCTGCCTCACCTCCACTTGGCTCTCCAGCATCTGCCGGCACCACAAGTCAGTCCATCGTCAGCGCCGTGGCGGGCGCACGCGCACCATTTGCTCCAAAATTGTCGACATGCTGAAATCGGTAAACGGTACACGGTCGCGTTCCGCGGCAATCACGGCGACGCCGTAAGAGTCGGCGAGAAAGCGGGTCGGGGATGGCGATCCGCGAGGAGGCTCGGAGAAATCGCGTGAACGTGACGTTTGCGTCGGACGCGTCCCGGCCTGAATCGGAGCCGGGGAAAATATTTGCGAGATGTCGGGGCGCCACCTGTTGCTTCTTGAGCATGATGTTGACGGAGGTGAGGTCTTTGCCGTAGTCGTCCGACTGCAGCTGCGCGTCCAGGCCGGCCAGCCACTTGTCCAGGTCGGCGCAGCTCTGCGTAAACAGCTCGGCCTTGTTGGCGTCAAACAGACACTTGGCTTTGGTCTGCGTGCTGGACTCCAGCTCCTCCCACATCTTCTTCAGCGACGCCAGCTTCTCGCGCACCATGGCCTCCGTCTCGGGCTTCTCCGCCATCAGCGCCTCGCCGTCCTGCCGCGGCACAACGCGACACGATGTCACGCAACGTTCTCGCTTCTGACAACAAATAGCTGGGCCTTGTTGTGGAGCCGTTCAGCCACTGGCCCGACTCCACTTTTGCCAGTTTTTGGGTGGCCGCCCGGTAGCTGCCACTCAAATTTCACCACAATATTGGTTCGAGTGTTGCACGAACAGGCTTGGGGAATAACGGATTACATGTACCTGCGTTACGTATTCAGAATACAGTTACAGAGAAAAAAAATGACGGCATGTGGAACTTAGTTGTCGTGGTGCGAGAAGGTTTTCTTTGGACTGACCTTCTGGATCTTGTCCAGCCATTCCTTGTTGGACTGCAGCTCGGCCATGAAGGCCTGGTGCTTGAGCCACTTGCTGTGCAGGTTGCGCGCCTCGTCGTACGTCATGTCCTGAGCCGTCAGCATCTTCTCGTTGATCCACAAGCTCAGCTGAGCGCAACGCATCAGCATTAGCCAACAAACGGCACCGCCCCCTCCCCAACAAAACAAAACGCAAAAAACAAACCGAGAAGGTCCGCACGCATGCACTTGCTCACCTCCTGGCAGTCCTGTAGGAACTTCTGCAGGTCTCGGTTGTCCTTCAGTCTCATGAGGAGTTCGCTGGCTGCCGCTCGGTTCTTCTTGTGCCTGACGGGGAAACATTTTCAGCAAGCGTACTGCATTTTGAAATTTATTAAAAAGTAACATTCAATTAGCATACAAAGAAAAACACACAAAAAAACAAAACAAAACAAAAAAAAACCCATTAAATGTTGAGTTTATTTTGGATAGTGTCAATAAAACCAATTGGCACTGATTTGGTGGAATGGTGGAACATAGAACATACAAATTGATGCATAAGCATGTTATATGCATATATATTTTTTTTAATTTTAGAAAAGTCTGATGCACGCTTTTTTTTTTTCTTCCCGTATTGCCTAAGTATCAGATTGGGACTCCGTATCGACACACACTTAATACCAAAGAAAGCGTGATCGGGACATGCCTAACTCATCTGAAAAGGAAACAACGGACCTTTGGTGTATGGAGTCCACCTTGTCCTGGATGCGCTCGGTGTTGATGTTGCCGTCGGCGACCAGCCGCCGTCCCGTGTCCACCACGCCGCTGATCTTCTCCTCGTTGGCGTCCATGGTGGTCATGAAGTCCTCCTGCTTCTTGATGGCCGCCTCGGCGCCCTCCAGCGTGGTCGGCATCTCCGTGTGGGCCAGCACGTACTCCTGCAACACGCACGCGCGCCAACGGCATGAGAGGAAGCAGGGAGTGAATCGCCACTAAAAGATGCCGCTTCATTCCTAGACGGTAAATATGTTGCCGTAAAAGTCATTTTTGTAGCAGTAACTAACAATGATATTCACAATTGATGCACCTTTTGAAACGATGACGACGTATGCAGTGTTATCTTCACTTTAGATGTCAAAAGTGTTTTGTGGCTCTTGTCCCCCAAGTCCCACAAATGGCTGTTTGAGTACTAAATGGTGCCCTGCCCTTGTAGGTTCTGAGGAAGGCCTCGGCCTGCTTGGTGTCTCTGAGGAAGAGCTGGTAGGAGTGCGACTGCGAGAGGAGGTTGCGCCTGTTCTCCCACATCTTGTGCAGCTCGTTCCAGCCCGTGTCGAGCGCCTGCAGCCGCTGGCGCAGGAACATGTACTGCGCGTCCGTCTGGCCGCGCGTCACCATCTCGCCCATGTCGCGCATCTTCTGGTAGTCCTCCTCGTAGTTGCGGATCTCGTTCTTGATGGCCTCGTGCTGGCCCAGCAGCTTCTCAGCCTCGGCCAGCGTGTTGGGCATGTCCTCGGACGCGATGGCCGTCTGCGTGCGCGACAGCCACGACTGGAAGTCGTCCAGCTCGCGCAGGAACTGCTGCAGCTTGCTGGCCTCGCCCAGCGACTCTTCGCGGTTCTTCATGGTGCCCTGAAACCACGTGCCCGCCCGCGTCAAATCACACACTTTTTCCAATTGATTTTGTAGCCCCCCCCCCCCAAAACAAAATAAGGCCCTGAAAAATGAATTCAGAGATTTGTTTCTTAACATATTGATCACAATTGCTTAAAACAGGCTACGAACTGAGCCGATTTATGCCTTCCCGTCTACATATACAAGTGCTTGAGCGCCTTCCTTCGCATCTGTTATCTCCCCACCCTGCCAAAGAGCCCGACTTGATATCCGGCATGTGAACGGGGGCTCCGGGCTGACGCGGCCACTGGCCTTCTGCCACTGGCAGGACTTGAAAACGGTGAGAGAAATGTGAAGGTCATCCGGGCCAGGCAGGGGCAAAGAGGTGAAGCGGGACGAAGGACGCACCTTCATCTCCTCCCACACGCCGGTGATCTCGTCCAGGCGTCCTTTGATGGCCTCGGATTGTTCCGGGTGTTCCGAGGATAAGCGCTCGGCCTCCTTGGCCAAGTCGCCGAGCTTGTCCTCGATGGCGGCCAGGTCTCGCTCCATGCCCGTCAGCTTCCTCTGCAGCGCCATGACGCCGGCCAGGTCGTTGCCCAGCTCCTGGGTGGACTCGATCACCTTGGGGGAGGCCCCAAGGTTAGCTTTCTAGGTTTCTCTAGCTTTTTTAGGTGGGCGTATTTGAATTTCTTTGGGGCAAATTATCTTGGTGAGATATGACATGTTGATGGCGTTTGGTGTACCTTGGTCTTCTCCCTGATCCAGGACTTGGTCTCGTTACACTCCAGATGGTAGTTCTGCACTCCCAAGGCGGAGCTCAGACTTTCCTTCTTCTGATCCACCAAGTCGCGGAACTGACTCCACCTGACAAAAAACATTCTCCGGCTCTTCAACCTCGACTCACTTGAAACCCCAGCGCGGCTGCCATGTGGACTCGAGCGTGGCCTTTGTCAGCCATGTTACCTGGTGTTGAGTTTGTCCTGCTGGGACTTGATTTCCTTTTCGCCGGGATGGCCGCTGTGGATGAGTTGCCTGGCGACCTGGTTGACGACGGCGACCCGTGATGCCTGATTATTCATCTCAGGCTCCAAACTCTCAAACCTGCGCAAATAAACCAGCCAGCATGCTCATGAAAAACGATACTTTTGTTCGTCGCGATTAAAAAAGGCAGACGACATCTCATCAATTGTTCTGAGTTCAATCCAAAGCCGTAAAGCGGCTCACCGGTGCTGGACCACCTCAAGGTCCTCCAGCTTGTCGGGGATGTCCATGCTGTTGAGCCACTGCTCCTTCTCGTCGATCCACAGCTCGCAGGCGTTGGCCTCGCTCAGCATCTTGTACAAGGCCAGCGCGTCCTGCAGCGCCTGCTTGCGGAGACGCGCCAGCTCCACCACCTCCTTGTAGCGCTCCTCGATGCCCGCCAGACGGCTCTGCACCTGCCGGCGCGCACGCGAGCCACAAGTCACCTCAAGTCACAAGTCACGCTTTCGGTTCGCCATCAAAAGTCTGCCGCTAGCTGCAGAACAAAAAGTCATTCCAGGCCGTTTGCGCAGCAGAAAACTGCGTGTGTGTGTTTGTGTTGGGCCGACAAGACCTCGAGATGACTCGCAAAAATATTTGACGCATGCTATTACGTTGGAAGCCAGTGGGTGGCACAGTATGATCTGGAAGGACATCACGTCTCCGCCTCACTTTGAGCCAGGAACTCACCTCCTGGGAGTCGGCCTTCTCGGGCGGCAGCGTGTGCGACTGCTCGTGCAGGGCGTCGATGACGGGCCTGTAGCTGGCGATCTCCTCGGCCACGTCCTTGTGCTTCTTCACCAGCGCCTGCGTGGAGAACTCGTCGTGGCCCACGTCCACGCTGGACACGATGCGCAGGGCGTCCAACATCCACGTGTCCATGTCGTCCGCGTCCGCCTGCGACGAGACACAACAGTCACGCCTTGCGTACCAAGAGTAGGTCCCCCGACGTCAAGGCCTAGCTTCACCTTGGTTGTCATGGCAACATAAGCCACTCTGCATGAGAGGGAACCGCCCCACAAAACGGACTAACCCACTTCTTTGAAAGCACATTCAACGATAACGTGAAGGACTGGAGCCTCTTACTTGGAACTGGTGCTGGTTGCACGCTTCCTGCAGGCGAGATTTGCGGACAGCCGAGAGCCGCTCCAACGCCGCCCACTGATCCTGCCAAGTGCACCGCCGCACAAAAAAGAAACAAAAAAGTCTGAGAATCAATCCGTCGGATCTCTTTTCATTCGTCAGCTCGTTTGGTTTCTTCACCTGGATGTCCTGGATGCGTTCCCGGATCTTGTCGGCCCCAAAGTGCTTGTCGGCCACCAGCTGCTCTCCCTGCTTGATGGTCTGCTGCAGGTGGGCGGCGCGTCCGCTCATTTCGTCCTCAAAGGCCTTGTGCTGACTCAGCAGCCGCAGGGCGCCCGTCAGGTCCTTGCCGCAGTCCTCCGAGGAGAGGATCTGCTCCTTCTCACGGATCCAGCCCTCCTGCCAGACGTGAATCGCAAACAACGTGAAAACAACAGTCGTTGCAGGCGTCCGGAAACTCATGAAAACTAGCCGCATTGATGAGCAACCCACACCAACTGGTTGCAGACACTCAATAACTTGATTGTGAGAGGCCGGAAACTCAAAATGATGATTAAAAAGTCACCGCAACTAACAAGAACAATTTGTGGGGGCTCAGCAACTAATGAAAATGACTTCCGGGTGGTAAACAACTCATGCTAACAAGTTGTGACCCCTCAGAAACTCATGAAAAGCAACAAAAACTGGTTGCAACTGGTCATGACAACCAGCGTCTGAAGGCCACACGCTGCGCGCAAAATCGCGGTTGGCGGCTCGCTCAGAACGACACAAACCTCTTCGGCCATTTCCCAGAAGAACTTCCAGAGGCGGCGCGACTCTTCCAGGCGTGCTCGCCGCTCGGCCGCCAGCTGGCTGAGTTCCTGGTAGCAGAATTCCATGTGGGCCACGCGTTCCCTGATGACCTGAGGGTCGCAGGGTTTGTACCCTGACAAGGAGGAGGAGGAGGAAGAAGAAGAGTTAGCGTTTGACCTTTCCGCAAGACTCTGAGGAAAGGTTCAGTCTCACCGTCGGAGTCGTTGGCAAACTTCTGCGCGTTGGCGTTGACGTTGCGGACCCGGTCGGCCTGGATGCCGATGTCTGCCTCCACCAAGGCGTGCTTCTGCAGCAGGTCCTCCACACCCAGGAGGTGTTTGCCGTAATCCTGAGACAGCAGCAGCATCTGCGCCCCAAACGTCCAAAGCATCAATGCGACCGCTCGCTCGGATTTAGTCAATTGATCATCAAGGCACCTTCATCTCGTCCATCCAGTCCATGATGTAGAGCATCTCCTGGAAGACCCTCTGCATGCCCAGCGTTTGCTCCAGCCTCAGCCTGCGCGCCTTGAGGAGTTCCAGCAGGTACTCCCACAGGCGGATCACGTTGTCCTTCCTGGCCGCGATGCGCTTGATGTCGTGGTAGCTCTCCGCCTCCAGCTCCTTGGCCACCGACACCACCGCCTGCAGCGCAAACCACCACAACCACAAAACAACGCCTTGGACTTTGATCGGGTAGATGACCTACAACGGTGCTTCTCTTTTTACACCAAGTAGCACCCAAAAAACAAAACCTTGGTCCTCCAATTGCCAAGACGATGAGCAACAGTTGCAATTGGGTGAATTATTTATTAAAAAAAAAAAAAAAAAACGGATCGCTTTTTGTTTCTTAAAGTTCCTTGGCCACCGACACCACCGCCTGCAGCGCAAACCACCACAACCACAAAACAACGCCTTGGACTTTGATCGGGTAGATGACCTACAACGGTGCTTCTCTTTTTACACCAAGTAGCACCCAAAAAACAAAACCTTGGTCCTCCAATTGCCAAGACGATGAGCAACAGTTGCAATTGGGTGAATTATTTATTAAAAAAAAAAAAAAAAAACGGATCGATGTTGTATTCCTAAAGTTGGATGATTAAAAAAAAAAGACTGCTTTCCAAGGATAAAGTTTGACAAAATTAAAAATAAGACAATATTGTGATTTGGGTGAAAAAAAATATTTTTTGTGGATTTTTCATTTTCAGCGGTAGCGTGAGCCACGGCGCAGGCACCTGAACGCGCTCCTCGTAAGCGGCGATGTCCGTCTCGATGGCCTCGTGCTTCTTGGTGGCCGCCTCCACCGCCTGGAGGTCGAAGCCGAAGTTGTCCTGCGGGAGCCGACACAGGCACACGCTGAAAACGGCCCGCTCCCATCACAGAGCGTTGCCCGCCCCCATCACAGAGCGCCGCCCGCCCCCCATCACAGAGTGGCGTCCGTCACCTGCGAGACCAGCCGCTGGTTTTCGCTCAGCCAGGTCTCCCGCATGGCCGCCTTGCGGTCGAAGCGGCGAGCCAACTGCTCCAGTTTCTCCTGTCGAATCAGCTCCGTCCTCAGCGCCAACTCGCGCTCGTGCTCCGCCTTCTCCAGACGCTCCCACGCCTGCCAGAAACACGCCTGTCACGCTACAGAGTTTGGTGCATTGATCCGCAAGTTCAGCGCGGAAAGTTGTTCAAAGCACGTGCATACATTTTTTGGTCCATCCCAATTGTAATCATTGAGTCAATCTTTTTTTTTTTTTGGCACTGAGAGCGTTTCGTAATGTTTCAAGAGTACGGCAATGCCTCTCTGCCAAAAGTCCCCACCGAAGGTCCGGGTGCCAAATGTGTGGCCCGTCACTGAATGGGGAGGGATGACGTCGGAGTGGGCGTGGCTACCTTGTTGATGTCCGAGATGAGTTTTCCCTCGCGAGGCGTGTACACCTTCTGGTTGTTGGCCCTCATCTTGCTCTGGATGGTGAACAGCAGAACCTCCAGGTTGCCCTTCTCCGTGAACCTTCGCGCACACAAGCAAGCACACGCTGATTTATTTTTCAAGTGTTTTCAAGACAATTGAAGCGCATGAAAATCAAAAGAGTGGAGAGAACAATCTTTAGCATTCGATACGGGCTGGTTGTCAGACTTTTGACAGCAAAATACTCAGCCCTAATGGAGTTATCCGGGAGGCCTAAAAAGTCGGTTTCTTCCGAACGCAACGCACTTTGGGGGCTTCTCCACCGTCCTGTAGGTGTTGAAGGCCTGCAGCTGCTGCTGGACGCCCACCAGCGAGTTGGCAAACTTTCTGTTGTTGAGGATGATGATGGTCTGCTCGATCCACTCCAGGAGCTCCGAGGCCAAACACTCGTACTTGTCCACCATCTTTTCCGTCTCGATGGCGTTGTCCAGAACCTGCGCGCAAAAACGCATAAGCCCGCCAAGCACCTGCTTACAGTCCCGCGCAGTTATTATGATTTTTTTTTTTTTTTTTAATCGGGCACCGCTGTTAAGTCATCATTAATGAGCGTGCTCTGCGCTCACCTTGCCGATGCGCTTGCCCTCCACCTTGAGGGCCTTCATCTTGGAGAAGTAGTGGTAGTAGGTGACCACGTAGGTGATGATGGACTTCTCATCCGGGTGGTCCACGCTGATGTCTGCCGCGAGAGGACGAGACCCCAAAGTGAGCAACGTTTCCACAACTTGACCTCATCTACCGCTGGCTAACAGGAACACATGCTTACTCCAAAGTATTGCCAGGCATATGGAAGCTGCACTTGCACGACATTCAAGACCCGCATTTGATTAAACGCGGGGGCCACTTTTAAAGTGCTCCTTATCGTCACTTCCAACGAATTCACGAAACGTGATCATTAGGAGTGAAAGGTTGAAAATTGCCATCGTCAGCGGCGCGGCGCGGCGTGGCTGACCTTCGGGGTCGAGCAGCTTGGTGAGGCCCAGGTGCTGCTCGGCCAGGTTGAAGGCGTTCTGCAGATTGTAGTGCGCGTTGGACTTCTTCAGCTTGTCAAAGTCGATCAGGTCCGGTCTGAGGCGGGACGGAAAGAAGCAAGCACTCCTTGTCACCTTACGCAGCAAGCAGAAGACCGCTGGGTGGCGGAGGTTCAGTATATTTGCGCCGAGAGCCCCGACCACCTTTTCATGTGTATTGTACAACGGACGCGCGGAGCCATTGACGCCACTACGCATCGATTTGCATGCTCACTTATTGATGGCTAATATCATTTCGTGTAGTCAAAGGACATTTTCGTCCATCACAAAAGAAAGCATCAAAAATTTGAATGGAAAGCAATTTCAGTGAAGCTTCGATTTGCTCAATAATGGGGTAGAGGGATCCAATCTTTTTCATAGCCTCTTGACGTCAAATAAACATCAGCCGGCTGTATTGCATTTTGATCCTCACATTTGTACACAGCAGGTCAAAGGTATGGAACAATCATCACGTCGTATCATATTATCAACGGACAATCGGGGAGTGTCCATCTGACTTGACGAGTTTGGCTTTTTTTTTTGTTTGCTTTGCTATCAATTCACGTGTTTGACTTCTTGCCACTCAACAGAGCTCTTCGCCGTGTTTCCGCATGGGACAACGTTGACCAAGGGGCTCAGATAGATGACTTCCTTCTTATCGGGGACGTCACCGTTGAATGGTGAAAATCGCACGCCTGTAATCGCGAATGTCACGAGCAACCGCACGCGGAAAAATCGTTACCTGTGTTTGTGGATGATGGCATTGAAGGCCATCCCGTCCCTCCAGCTGGTGGAGAAGTTGTGGATGTTCACGTTTGGATATCTGCAACACAACACAAAACATTTCACTTATAACTTTCATTTGGGCTGTCACCAAGCTCCGAAATCAATGGAGTGGCAGAACAGCGTTTTTTTTTTTGGGTGGGGTGGTGAAATGTGAAATGTGAAGCGTTTTCGGACTGACGCTTGTGTCGCTCGTTTCTCATTTGTCGTATTGCACCAGCACTCACCCGGCCGTCTTCATTTGACACCAGAGCAGCAGAGCATCTTTGGCCGACTTCTTCTCTTTGTTGTCCTCCGTCTCCACGCTGATGTCTTGGATCTGAAGCACACGCGCACACACGTCAAGGCTCCCCGCCGACATCATCAACCAAAACCAAGACGACAAACGAGGACTCGTGAGCTCCTTTTGGGGGACGAAGTGAAGCTCGGCAACACAAACGTGTTACCCTCACATCGACGCTCGCACCATTGCCACTGAAATTCCCGCAGCTGCCGTCAATCGTCACTTCACTTCATGTCACTCCCTCTGCAGGATTTAGAAGACTAAAGGCGTTTTTTTTTTTTTTTTAATCCACCGCCTTATGAATGTTAAACTCTTCTCCACCCCCGGCGGTGTTGATGACATCATCGCTGTCGTCACATGACAACAATGTCGTTAATCAGATGAAGGCGACATACGTTCCAAGGAAAGAAAAAAATGGCAGCCATGATTAAGAAATAATTTCTGGAAATGCGTGGGGGCACTTGATAAACATTTCATGTGATTTGCCTCACGGAGGTCCCTTCATTTTACCTTGAAAAAAAAAAGGTGAATATTTATAAGCGTTACCTCACTCCTAGATTTGCGGGAACCATGTCTGGGGTGAAAAATGTGCTGCTGATTTGCATTTCTTGAAATCGACATTTTTGGGGTTTTAACTGACGTGTGGCTGCTGGATGTGATGCGGGGGGGGCAAGCGGGCGCTTACCTGGAAGCGCAAGATGATGGTCCAGATGAGGCCTAGCGTGAGGCGGTGGTTGCCGTCCACAATGTCGTGCGAGCCCATATTCTCCAGGTGGACGCGCTGCTCCTTGAGGAACTGCAGGGCCTTGTCCACGTTCTCCAGGCAGTGGATCCTCATGCGGCCTTTGGTGGGCTTGGGCTGACGACGGACAACCAGGACAACTTGAAGCGATTCAGTGATACCTCAACAGCTGTCACGAGAACGGATTGTTTCCGGACACTTGAACTCGTGTGAATCCTCCCAATAGTTACAGTGAAAAATTTCGATCGTTAGCTGCAGCCCAAAATAATAGGGTTTTTTTTTTTTCATTCTTCATTTTAGGGCGATCATTCTTTTCGGTGATGAACATAATGGGGGAGGCGGGGCAGGAATGTGACTTTATATTGTGGATGTAAACTTGCGATTTCAACCGTCGGGATGAATACACTGATTTCATACTGAAAGAATCTATTTTGTTCCATCCGTGTGTCAGCGTGAAGTCTTCAACGCGCGCATGGGTACCAGTCTCTCGCCGCTGAGGACCTCGAGCAGCTTGATGAGCATGCGTCCGTCCCGAAGGTCCACATAGAGGTCGGTGATGCGGCAGGAAACCCGGGAGAGGTGAGAGTTGACCCATTTGGTGAACGTCTTCTTCTGCACCGCCTCGCGCTCGTCTGACCACAAAAACAGAGCGCGGCGTCACTTCCGATTCACCTCTCGCGTTTCCTCGGGGTGCATTGTTTCCCTGGTGTGCATGTGAGTGTCCATGTGAGGGAGGGGCTTCCTGTCTGAGAGAGACTTCCAGAAACGCACACACACAAACACATGCACTCTGTCTGCTCGCACGCGAACCTTGCTGAATGAATGAAAGACAGCAGAATATAATCTTCATTTATGTGTGTGAGGGACTTTGCTTGTGACGGCGGGTGTGCGAGTGCAGGATATCGAGAAGGTGTTTAGAAGTCATCCGCAGCCTGAGTGGGTGTCAGTGAAGGTGAGGCTGCGTGCGAGAGGAGGCGGAGTCTGTGTGCGCCTGTGACTCCGTGCGTTCGAGAAACGTGTGTGTGTGTGTGTGTGTGTGTGTGTGTGTGTGTGTGTGTGTGTGTATCAAATATAGCTCTGCAAAAAATTAAAAAGAGCAAGTGTTATCAAGGCGTGCGTGTGCGTGCACAGGAAGTTGTCAAGCGACGCCATGACAAGCATTGTGCTGCTTTTCCGGCCAAGAATAAAAGCGAGGCAGGAAAACAACAAACAAGTCACAAGGTCATGTCAACATGATTCAGGATTCCTGTCTTTTCTGGGAAAAAGTGGTTGAGACGTTCAACACAAGGCCAATTTGCCGCACATCCGAATCATCCCCAAATCAGATCCACTCACTTTTTCACACGTACGAGTCAAAGTCAAAGGATTGAATTTCCTTGACTGCTGAATGCACAGGAAGCATCGCTGCGCGTGTATTGCAGAAAGAGGAGACAGCGCTCAATTGATTAGCTGTGTGTGTGTGTGTGTGTGTGTGTGTGTGTGTGTGTGTGTGTGTACTGTGTACGTGCGTGTGTGAGTGTGTCGTGGGCTATAACACACCCGCACTGAGTTAGGACGTGACCTCAACCCGAGGAAACACACAAAGCAGACATGGGCGTGGACGTTTATCTCCATGGCGATAGAAAATACAGAACGCAATATCTTTACTTTAGCGCGCGCGCACTCACACACACGCACACAACCATATACACAAACAAACAAACAGACAGACAGACAGACAGACAGACAAAGAAGCAAACATGTACAAAGTAAAGATACACACATATACACAAACAGACAATGACATACGCACAAAATGACCGGTAGACAAACACGCCAGCACACACACGCACAACATTGACTGAGAAGCTTAGCATGACACACACACACACACACACACACACACACACACACACACACACACACACAGCCGGCAGCTAATGTGTAGCGAAAGGCTCACGAGGCGAGCGTTAATCGTCACTTCACATCGGGCAAACAGAAGCAACAATTGTGGCGCATCATGAGATTGCATACGCATTCCACCGCAGGAACACACACACACACACACACACACACACACACACACACACACACACACGGGTGTGCGTGCATTGTGGGGGTGGACCTCGCGATAGGCTAAGCCCCGCCCCCATCTGATCTCCACCAATTAGATTCTTTCATGAAGCTCACAACTCACCCCAGTCCCCCTAAAGCACAAACATGCTCGCCGTAGGTTCGGATCCATTCACTCATGACTTTGCCACACTTTTTTATGATCTTGACTTGATTCCTGTAAACGGAGTGTTCCTTAGTCTCATCAAAGTTTGGCATGTCCAAATCGACTATATATGCTTGTGCATTCTCTGCTGTTTTTGAATCAAGGCACAGAAATTAAAAAAATTATCTGATTTAAAAAAAAAAGCTAATGAAATTAATCACATAAATACTTGGGCCAGCTATGCTTTTTTTTCTTCTTAATTTGGCCTCTTAAAGTAGCACTCAGAGAGCGAATTATTTTTAAGGGTGCTACTTGCTCTCCAAAATTTGTCTTGGATTACTAAAAGCTTGCGTGTGTCTTTTCAAAGAAGCTAGCGTTGCAAAGAGGCCGGCCGGGTCTTGCCTTGGCGTCCGCTTGGGTGACTGACACAGAGAGACCAGTGAGTTTGCGTCCAACATCTGGATCCACTCGCATGGCTCTTGTATGTATGTTTCCAACTCACACTGAGTCACATGACACTATCCAAACACACCCACACACCCACGCGTGCGTGCGCGCACACACACACACACACACACACACACACACACACACACACACACACACACACACACACACACAAAACACTCATGATGCGGTCATGGCAAAACACACTCTTGCAATTGCAGCATTCCAACATTCCTGATGTCCCACGAGAGGCCGGGTAGTCCAAATCTCAGCCCGCTCACACAAATGACGGACACGTGCGTGTTGTTACCGCGGCGACCGATCCTCCCTCCCGTCAACGAGGATCTCGTATGAAACGGACGCACCAAATTCGCCCTCGCCGCAGTGATGTCATCACATGGAGAAGAAGTTAGTCACGTTACGTGCGGCCGTTGCGTAATGCGAGTGCGCTAACTTTGAGCCCGCGCCCACAGAGGGCTGAAAATGAGTCGTCGCTATGTGGCGTTTCATGGTTGGTGGCCGTGCTTTCTAGTTAGGCTTTTTTTTTTTATTTTATTTATTTTAAAGTGGTCAGCGTAGTAGCACCTTGCTCACAACACACCGGGCAGCGCTGAGATGCCGCACGATTCATTGCCGCTGTTTGGATGTCTTGCTTCCCCAGGAGCAGGTTTAGAATGAGGCTAACATCTGTGCAAATTAACACTAGCCCACTTATGGCATTTTGAATCAGGTGATTTGGACTCGGGTGTAAAAAATATGATTGGAACATCCCTATTCATAATGTTAAATTCCATTTTATTTTGTCAATCATTTTTTAAAATGTAAACTTCAACAGGGGCTAACTTCACGTTCACATTATTGATATGAGCAATGGCGTTTATGTGCGTGCGTGTGACATTCCGGAGCGCGGAGCACACAAAGCAGCTTTGGAACATAGCGCCGTGGTGCTAACGAAGCGGCGTGTGCGTGTTATTGTGCTGTCGTGAGGCACAAATACGCGTCAATGAGGTCGGTCATTCACATCGTCTGGTGGGACAACCAGAAAAAGAAGCAGCAGCAGCAGCAGGAGCCAGTGACAAGCTTCTGTACCACTAAGGTGTTGTTGCTGCTTGTCCTGCCGCCATTGGCAACCGGAGGCCTCAGTCAGTCACAGCGTCAGGTTGTCACTCAAGCAGCCCGACATCTGTGACATCACACCAGCAGAAACCAATCCCTTTTGGAACATTTACCAGCTCCTTCAATTATTCATCCGGGTTTGCAAGCCAGCAGGTGGTACATGGACACTCCGACAAATTAACTTTTTTTTCTCTCCTTATTGTTCTCATGACAAATAATTTTGAGGGTGTTCTTATGATCAAAAGCTCATTTCCAAAATTTTCAGGGACCAAAAATCCATCTTTCTGCATTTAATTGTTTGATCTGCTGAACAACTCTTGAGGCCAGGTATTGAGACTTGAGGAACTCCACTTGTCATTGACTTGGCTTTTTTCAATGCTAACAGTTGTCAAAACTGCTGATGCAAAAATGCTTTTATGGTATATATGTGCGATGTACTGTATTTCCCCCTGTGCAAAACAACAGCATGTGAATCAGAAAATAAACAAAGTATTAATCACAATTCAGCTCCGAAAGCCAATTTAGGCAACAAAATAGCCTGTCGAACACATGCCTGGAAAGACCCGGCAAATTGGCCATTTTGCCATTTTAGTGCAAAGTCGGAGGACTAGTGGGAGCCACGACAGAAATGTTCGCAAAATTCAACGCCCGCTGTCAATTTCACGAAGCAACATGAAAGTGGCAGGCATCTTTATCACCAGGAGACCCACAAAAAAAAGTCTGAAGAAGTCATGCCGGAAAAGACCGGGATATTCAACAACCATATCGCATGCTTTTCCAATATCGTACATGAAGAGACCACCAAAAAGTCTCAGGAAGCAATGGCAAAAAAGATGCATTGAAGCTTTTGTATGGAAGTGAATTGAGCCATTTCAGACGTTTTCTGATTGTTACCAAATTCGAAGCACAAATAGACAGACGGACATCTCTAAATTGCCGACTATTTTTATTTTCCTCATCGCGTATGCGTGGAGCATGGCAGCAAAATTCGATGACGCCCCATGAAACACAAAACTACTCATTTCCATCATTTGGGATCCTCACACCGCAATGCAAAAGAAACAAAAAAAAAACAAAGAAACAAACATGCCGATTCCAGATCCTGACACCCACACACACACACTTTTGCTATTTTGAACTTTCACTTTCTGCTGTTTGTCTAAGTATTGGCTGTAAGCCCCTCCTCCACTGAGTAGCCAGAAGCGCGCACAGTGGGCGACTTCCATCAAAGACCTCTTTCATTGTACAGCACACACACACACACACACACACACACACACACACACACACACACACACACACACACACACACTGGTTTGAGCCAGACGGCGTGGTCCTCGATCACTTCCTCCTGGTGTCACCTTGGCAGCTAGCGGCTAGACAATGGCAGCCTTCTGCTGGGGATGTTGCGATGTCAGGAGTTAAGTGGCGAGAATGTCTGGCCGTTGTTGCTGTTGCAGCCTCGTTTCGCAGAAGCTCATGTGGGCAAACTCGTCCTTCTCAATGGCGTCATTGAGAAACTTCAGGATACAGAGGTTACACTCGGGCTCGGCATTTCGTTTTGACGATCAAAGGGTTGCTATCTCGGAAGGATTTTGTTTTCCGGATTTCTGATTTGAATCCATTTTCCTTGAATAAATGAACATTTTTAGTGTTCGACAATTTAGTCTGATAAAAGGAGGGCTCAACGTGCACAACTCAGCTGCTGAGAGCAACTGCGCACATCCTTCAGCTCGCTTAAGCGTCAATGAGGCAAACTATTTGCAATGCCGAAGCAGCTACCTCGGGTCAAACATTTCCAACCTGACGTGAAGCAAACTTGTCCGCTGGACACCCGGTTGGGCCGCGTCAACGTGATCAATGATCAACTTTCTGCCCGGGCTCGGTTTGGACCTTTGTTCTGATGAACATTTTCTAGGAGTACCGTAAACAACCTGCTGCCTGACGATGCAGTCAACCTGGCCCCCCCCCACTCCATAATGCAATATCTGGACTCCCCGGGAAACAACACCAGGTTCTTGTTTGTGGACTTCAGCTCTCAGATTCCTTAAAAACAGAGGGACACACCCTGCACTTGAAGCTCTTTGGCCCGTCTTTGGGGTGCGGATGACCAAGAGGAGCAGTGCGGGTCTCGCAGCCTCCCTCTTTGCATCTCATCTCAAATTCCAGGGAAAGGCCGACCGACGGCGGCGGTCATGAAAGATGGATGAGGAGCCCGCGAGGGAGGAAGAGCGACGAGGACGAGCGCGAGGTCAGCTGATCGCGTCAGACACGCCCCCTCCCCTCCATTAACAGCTCGGGGACGACCGGAGCAGCGAGCTGTGATCTAATGGGCTGCCGTGGGGCAACAATAAGAGGAAGTGAGGACCAGCTTTCACAGGGGCGTGTCGCTCTTGTTTGGAGCGTCTTTGTGCATCCATGTGACTCCCATCGTGAAGCGTGCTCGGGCCTCAAGCACTGACCTTCATTTACAACTCAAATTGCAACATTTCTTCATATATAAATGTATTCACACACACACACACACACACACACACACACACACACACACACACACACACACACACAA